TACTGGCATAAGCATGGGTAATACAAACCAATGGAATAGAACTGAGAATCCAGAACTCATACATTAATGGGTAATTCACCTAAGACAATAAGACGAAGACAACTCAATGGGGAAATAATAGTCTTTCAACAACTGGTGCTCAGACAGCTGGATATCTACATGCAAAAGAATGAAGTCAGACTGCTACCTCATACAACATACAAAAATGATCACAAAACAGATCAAAATGAGTGAAAAGTACACTTTCAATTTCAACTTTTGATTTTCACTATTTCAACTTTTATTGTAGATCTAGGAGGTACATGCGCAGATTTGTTACTTGCGTATATTTTGTCATGCTAAGGTTTATGGTACAATTGATTCCATCAATCAGGTACTGAGCACAGTACCCAACAGTAAGTTTTTCAACCCTGTTCCCCTACTTCCCCGACCCTTCTAGTAGTCCCCAGTTTCTACTGTTGCCATCGGGTATTTTCAAATGCCTCAAATCACCATATAATTTTAACAATTTTAAGAATCTAATCTTAAATCTGATAGTATATCAGAACTTACCTTTACTATAAAGAGCTCTGTGTACTTTTGAAGGCTTTTCTACTGTTGAAGACGCTGAGAATCCAGGAGGTAAGCGGACGTGAACCAGCGTCAGTGTATTAGGCCGTGCTAATGGCTGTCTGAATGGACAAGTGCTGAAATATAACCTAACACCTGAAGATGGGGTAAAATTATGCATCAGTAATAGAAACTATGGACCTGACGGAAATATGTTATTGAAGCAATTACATATAGAAGCACAGAACTTTGCTAAAACCATATATAACTTTCCTGACTGATTTTAAATTACCATCTAGACTATCAGCTAAAATATAATCTAAGAATGTCACTCAAGGCCGGGTGTGGTGGTTCACACCTGTAATCCTAGCACTTTGGGAGGTCAAGGCGAGTGGATTACCTGAGATCAGGAGTTCGAGACCAGCCTGGCCTTCATAGTGAAACCCCATCTCTACTAACAATACAAAAATTAGCCAGGCATGGTGGCGTGTGCTAATACTATCCGCTACTAGGAGGGCTGAGGCAGGACAATCACTAGAACCTGGGAGGTAGAGGTTGCAGTGAGCCAAGACTGTGTCACTGCACTCCAGCCTGGGCAACACAGCAAGACTCCATCTCAAAATAAAAAGAAAAAGAAAATGTCACCCGAAATTTAGAGGTGAATCAATATATTTCTGTAGAAGGAACTTACAAAGACAACCAAGGAAGCTTGTGTTCCAATTCAGGCTCTGTTATCAACTGTGAGCCATTGTACCTTTTAGGCTTGGCTTTTGGTTTTTGTTTTCTTTTTTTTTTGAGTCAGGGTCTTGCTCTATTGCCCAGGTTGGAGTGTAGCCACATGATCTCAGCTCACTACAGCCTCAAGCTCCTGGGCTTAAGTGATCTTCCCACCACAGCCTCCTAAGCAGCTAGGACTACAGGGCTGTGCCACTACACCTGGCTAATTTTTGTATTTTTAGTAGAGATGGGGTTTCACCATGTTGCCCAGGTTAGTCTTGAACTCCTAGGTTCAGGCAATCTCCGCCTTGGCCTCCCAAAGTGTTGGGAGCCACCATGCCTGGCCTAGGCTTGGTTTCATATCTATAAAATGAAGAAACAAAATTAGAGAAAGCTTCCAGTTTTTAAAATCCTTTGTTTTACAAATTATTTATATGGCTTTATGATGGATAGAGAAGTAAAAAGATATTTCTAATCATAAATTTCCAAACCTAAGGATTTTCAGAAGTTGTAACAGCAACAGCAGACATGTAAATAAAACAACATACCTGCATGTGTGACAGCCAATAACTGACAGTCCAGTGATTCCGAATTTTCAATCACTGCTATTTGGACAATTGGTTTAAAAACAGAACGATCGATGGTCCTAAAAGAAAAACGAAAAAGTGCATTTTTAAAATATGTCTACTAAATTATAAGGAACATTTCACATCAGAATTTTTACATATTTCCACCTTTTCTTTTTTTTTTTTTTTTAAGATAGTCTTGCTTTGCCACCTAGGCTGGAGTGCAGCGGTGTGATCTCGGCCCACTGCAACGTCTGCTTCCCAGGCAGGTTCAAGTAATTCTCCTGCCTCAGCCTCCTTAGTAGCTGGGATTACAGGCATGCACCACCATGCCCGGCTAATTTTTATATTCTTAGTAGAGGCAGGGTTTCACCATGTTGGCTAGGCTGGTCTTGAACTCCTGACCTTAGGTGATCCATCTGCCTCGGCCTCCCAAAATGCTGAGATTACAGGCATGAGCCACCGCGCCCAGCCCCGAGTGTATTAGTTTTTATCACATTGGTAATTTTTTTTCTGGATTTGAAAAAAATTCTAGAAAAAAGTTAGAGGGAAAACCGGAAAATGCTGTTTTCAATTGTCTGCCTTCAGAATTTTTTCTTGTCACTGAAGAATAAAACAAAACTAAAAGTTAGCCTGGGCAAGATAGTAAGACCCCATGTGTTTTATTTTAACTAAAAATAAAATTAGGGCCGAGTGTGGTGGCTCACACCTGTAATCCCAGCACTTTGGGAGGCCAAGGCGGGTGGATCACGAGGTCAAGAAATCGAGACCATCCTGGTCAACATGGTGAAACCCTGTCTCTACTAAAAATACAAAAATTAGCTGGGCATGGTGGCGCATGCCTGTAGTCCCAGCTATTTGGGAGGCTGAGGCAGGAGAATTGCTTGAACCCAGGAGACGGAGGTTGCGGTGAGCCGAGATCGCGCCATTGCACTCCAGCCTGGGTAACAAGAACAAAACTCCGTCTCAAAAAAAAAAAAAATAAATAAATAAATAAATAAATAAATTAGATGGGCATGTTGGTGCATATCTATAGTCATAGCTACTCAGGAAGCTTAGGCATGAGGACCACATCAATCCAGGAAGTTGAGGCTATAGTGGACTACAACTACATCCCTGCACTCCAACCTGAGCAATAGAGTGATACCCTGTCTGGGGGGGGAAAGGTGATTTATTTCACTCTGACTGTAGCAATAACCTAGGCACAAAGATAACAGAAGCTCAAAATTTCAGGCCTTCATTATAAAAAGAGAATGTTTGCAGCTGCCTAAGGTAGTTGGGATATATGCAAATGGTAGTGCAGAGTGTCTGAAGACTTGGTTTCTGTGTTTGGTTCTTGCACTTACTTAGGAGTTAGATCTCAGGCAAATCATAACATCCCTTAGTTTCAGTTTCGTCATGAATAAAATGAATACAACTATAAAATACTGTGTTCTGCACTTGTGTCAATAATTAGACTGACTAAACTTGAACCACACATGCCTGTTAAAAAAGAGTGAGTAGAGGCTGGGTGCAGTGGCTCATGCCTATAAATAACCCCAGCACTGGCCGGGCGCGGTGGCTCAAGCCTATAATTCCAGCACTTTGGGAGGCTGAGGCGGGTGGATCGCGAGGTCAAGGGATTGAGACCATCCTGGTCAACATGGTGAAACCCTGTCTCTACTAAAAATACAAAAAATTAGCTGGGCATGGTGGTGTGTGCCTGTAATCCCAGCTACTCAGGAGGCTGAGGCAGGAGAATTGCCTGAACCCAGGAGGCGGAGGTTGTGGTGAGCCGAGATAGCACCATCGCACTCCAGCCTGGGTAACATGAGTGAAACTCCGTCTCAAAAAAAAAAAAAAAAAAAAAACAAAAAACCCAGCACTTTGGAAGGCCAGGGCAGTTGTAGTGCTTGAGTCTAGGAGTTCAAGACCAGCCTGGGCAACATGGTGAAACCCTGTTTCTACAAAAAATAGAAAATTAGCCAGAGGCGGTGGTACACTCCTATTGGTCTAGTGAACCCCATGTTTCTCTTTAAAGAATAGGTATGTGAGTATGTTCAGCTCTCTTATTCTTCAATTCTCTATTTTAAAGTTTAACTTCCTTGTAATTCCAGGAAACAACCAATTCCAGCGGTTCTAATCATTAATTCACATGTTTCCCCAGCCCCCAGTTCCATCCTGACTCATCCTGGTTACCTGCTCCAGTCACCTTCTTTGACCTGGTCACCCCGGCTACCTGCTCTGACCCACCCATAACCGTACTTCCTGCCAAAACACCCACCCTGCCACTCCAGCTTAGACCCCTGCTCTCTTTAAAATAGCCAATCGGGTGAGTCTAGCTTGTGCAGTCTAACCCCAGCCAATAGGGGAACAACACAGCAGCAGGGATGACCCCCATCAGGCGTAAGTACCCCTTCCCCCGCCTTATCGAAGATTGCAAACACCATTGTTACATCCATATGCCCCACCCTTCTATAGAAGTAAACTGCCTTGCTGAGAGGAATTATCTTCAGGTGCTATTTCTTTTGCTGCCTTGAAATTTCACTTATAACACTGTAGTCCCAGTTGCTTGGGAGGCTGAGGTTAAGAATCATTTTAGCCTGGGAGGTGGTGATTGCTAGCTGAGATGGAGCCACTGCACTCCAAACTGGGCAACAGAGCAACACTTCTCAAAAAAGAAACAAGCAAACAAAAAAACCGAAAGAGTGAATAGCTAAAAGTGAGGGAATTTTGAGACATGCAGCTTGCTAGCCATAATCCCTAAGTAAAGTTGCCAGGAAAAACACATGTCAAGCTGTACTTTACAGAGTAAAACTAGTCTACCTTATATTTCAAACTATCAAACACAAGAATAAAAGAGGCCAGGCACAGTAGCTCATGCCTGTAATCCTAGCACTTTGGTAGGCGAAGGTACACAGATCACCTGAGGTCAGGAGTTCAAGACCAGCCTGGCAAACATGGCAAAACCCCGTCTCTACTAAAAATGCAAAAATTAGCTGGGCATGGTGGTAGATGCCTGTAATCCCAGCTATCAGGGAGGCTGTGGCAGGAGAATTAATTGAACCTAGGAGGCAAATGCTGCAATGAGCAAGATGGCACCACTGCACTCCAGTCTGGGCAACAGAGTGAGACCCTGTCTCAGAAAAAAAAAAAAAAAAAAAAGAACGAAAGAGTCTCTAACAGCTCTCTTTGAAACATAACGTAGAGTGTCACCTCTTCAACATTACTCATCTTTTAAAGACATTTGGGTAAGGGAATAATATAATTTTAGTATGCTACACATAAGTAGTACAATTACGCCTGCAAATGAAATGCTTAACAATAAATTACATGTTACCTAGCAATGTTACCAGCAGCAGAGACAATGGCATTCTGTGACACGGAGGCAACTCTGCTCATTCCTTGTCCATCTTGTCCCAAGTCATACACCTGTGAATACAAAATCATTTTCACTTAAACATGATTATATATTATATACGTTATTAAATTTTTCCTTTTAAGAGATCCTTTAATATTGGTATTTAATACAAATATGAAAACATGCAGATCTGAAATTTTATAAAAAGGGACGTCTTCTGAGTAGTGAGCTGGGCTTTTTTGTTTTTGAGATGGAGTCTTGCTCTGTCGCCTAGGCTGGAGTGCAATGGTGTGATCTCGGCCCACTGCAACCTCCACCTCCCTGTTCCAAGTGACTCTCCTGCCTCAGCCTCCCAGGTAGCTGGATTGTGGGTGCATGCCACCATAGCTGGCTAATTTTTGTAGTTCTAGTAGAAGTGGGGTTTCACCATGTTGGTTCACATTGGTCTCAAACTCCTGACCTCAGGTGATCCACCCATCTTGGCCTCCCACAGTGTTGGGATTACAGGTGTGGGCCATTGCGCCTGGCAGGCTTTTTGTTGTTGTTGTTTAATCACACAGTTCATATGAAAAGTTTAAGAGGCAAGAATTGTCTTCCCTAAAAATAAGGATTTATTGGCCAGGTGCGGTGGCTCATGCCTGTAATCCCAGCACTTTGGGAGGCTGAGATGGGTGGATCACCTGAGGTCAGGAGTTCGAGACCAGTCTAAACAACATGGAGAAACCCCAACTCTACTAAAAATAGAAAACTACCCAGGTGTGGTGGCACATGCCAGTAATCCCAGCTACGTGGGAGCCTGAGGCAGTAGAATCACTTGAACCTGGGAGGTAGAGGCTTCGGGGAGCCAAGATGGTGCCATTGCACTCCAGCCTGGGCAATAAGAGCAAAACTCCATCCCAAAAAACAAACAACCAAAAATCAAAAAAACAAAAACAAAACAAAACAAAATAAGGATTTATTTTACTCTTACTTTTTTTTTTTTTTTTTTTTGAGACGGAGTTTCACTCATGTTACCCAGGCTAGAGTGCAATGGCGCGATCTCGGCTCACCGCAACCTCCGCCTCCTGGGTTCAGGCAATTCTCCTGCCTCAGCCTCCCGAGTAGCTGGGATTACAGGCACGCGCCACCATGCCCAGCTAATTTTTTGTATTTTTAGTAGAGACGGGGTTTCATCATGTTGACCAGGATGGTCTCGATCTCTTGACCTTGTGATCCACCCGCCTTGGCCTCCCAAAGTGCTGGGATTACAGGCTTGAGCCACCGCGCCCGGCCTATTCTACTCTTAATGGTATAATATATACATATGTTTTTCTGAGTGAATGTTTATTTTATTAAAGCTTTACATAAAATTTACATTTATATGGTTGGGGATGACCAGAAAGGTGTCAGCAGAACCAAGTTGCCATTACAATATTAAGTTAAATATATTGAGTTTTGGGTTGGTAGTAATAATTAGCTCTGTAGAATAATCTCATATGCTCCTACTACCACGATACAACCCTTTGACCTCTAATCTTTCTTGTAAAAGCTTTTCTTTTCATTAAATTGTCAGCACTTAAATGATAAAGCTTATAGTCATTGAAAAAATGCAGTCGATTCAAGGTTCAATACCAGCACATAGGGAGTGAATAGGATTTGTTTCTGATATATTGACACAACGTAAGGAAACCCATCTCAGTGGTATAACATTAATACTAACCTGTATTACTCCTTTCTCAGATCGCGTATATAAAATATTTCTAGAATTATCAATTGCAATTTGAAGAATAGGATCTAAAAGTAAGACAAAAAAAGGAGAAAAAAACATACCCAAGGATTAACAAAGCAAACACATTAGCCAGTTACAACAAATTGTTGAATTATAACTTTGAATTCAAGGGTTTTCTTGTCCCTTGCTTTGTAGTTAAATCCTAGGATACTTGCAAGGGTTCCAGTTCAAAAAACATTTTAGTCAGATAACACATGAAAACAACAGATGCTAAATACTGTGACTGGGTTACAAGCACAGAAAATAAGTTATTTTGTCCTCTAAATGAATTTTAAGCCAAACCAAAAACAAGTCCTAAGTTATTTCTTCATTCAATAATATTTAAAGAACATTTACTGTATGCTAGAAACACAAAGGATAATTATACCTGGTCCTTTCTGTTAAGAAACTTCCAATTTGGCTTAAAGATTGTGTGAAGGAAACTAATTTTAAATTTTATTCATATTAATATTTGGGTATACTGATCTTATTTTGCCAAAACACTTAAAAAATTATTTCACCTGTTTAAATCTCTCAGTTCATGAAAAACTAAGATATATTCTTTTCATATTGGGAATTTGTTCTAGACCAAACAAATCATGTATTAGCTGTCTGAATGTCTGTCTCTCTCACATACACACACATATTTTGGTTTAAGTATGAACAGCTGTTTTAGACACAAGTTCTTTGATGCTACGTTTACAGGAAATACAAACCTGAAAATAAAATACACACTTTCTCTCTGTTATAATCTCTTCTCATCCCTTAGAAGACCTTATGAATATATACCAGATGCTACTTAATATAACTGTTTCAATTTGGAATGATAATATCTGAAGAAAATATTGAAGGAACGATGTATTAGATCAGTTTTACTTGCCAAATTTATTGTTTTCTACTTACCATCTTCTGAGAATGTAAATTGTAGCAAGGAAGGTACAAGGAAAGAAAGTGAGCTCTTTGAGTGGTTTATTTTCCTACATCTTTGGCTAAACCACCCTGCTTCTGCCTTAAAGAAAAAAATAAAAAGAAGACTTACAAAAGTATGTAACTCCCTTATAATAACTACTGTATATCCATATTTATTAAAAAACCTTCAAATCTTCACGAAATACCAGTTGTAATCACTAACATCAGTTATAATCAACAAAATGAGACATATTATTCAAAAACTGAGTTTAGTCCATAATGTAACATATCAACCAAATACTGAGAAGGAAAGAATTTCAAGATATACTATTAAATGAAAAGCCCAGGCCGGGCGCGGTGGCTCAAGCCTGTAATCCCAGCACTGTGGGAGGCCGAGGCGGGTGGATCACGAGGTCAAGAGATCGAGACCATCCTGGTCAACATGGTGAAACCCGGTCTCTACTAAAAATACAAAAAAAAAATTAGCTGGGCATGGTGGCGTGTGCCTGTAATCCCAGCGACTCAGGAGGCTGGGGCAGGAGAATTGCCTGAACCCGGGAGGCGGAGGTTGCGGTGAGCCGAGATCGCACCATTGCACTCCAGCCTGGGTAACAAGAGTGAAACTCTGTCTCAAAAAAAAAAAAAAATAAATAAAATAAATGAAAAGCCCATTATGGGCTAGGCACAGGGGCTCATGCCTATAAATCCTAGCACTTTGGGAGGCCAAGGCAGGCAGATCATTTGAGGTCAGGAGTTTGAGACCAGCCTGGCCAACATGATGAAACCCTGTCTCTACTAAAAACACAAAAATTAGCTGGATGTGGTGGTGCATGCCTGTAGTCCTAGGTATGCAGTAGGCTGAGGCAGGAGAACTGCTTGAACTAGGGAGAACTGAGCCAAGACTGAGCCAATGTACTCCAACCTGGGTGATAGACTGAGACCCCATCTTAAAAAAAAAAAAAAAAAAAAAAAGCAATTATGAAATAAAACAAACAATAATCCAAGTAAAAACATATATTTGCAAAAGTACATTATGTAGTTATATATGTGTATTCACATACAAATACATATGCATAGATATCTTTATCTTTGATGTCTGCTTTATGTTCTATAAGGACATAGATAGAATTAATAATGACTTTTTTTTTTCCACCTAGATTTCAGAGGAAATAATGACTTTTACCTCCAAGGAGAGGACTGACTTTTTAAAGCATGATGTACTCATGAGGACTACAGCTTCAACTGTATGCTTGAATATTTTCCATAAAAATATATTAATATCCTTATATAATTAGAAAACAAAAGAAAGGCTTATTTTTCCCTATTCCAATAAAAGAGGAAAAAACATTTACAAATGTCAGACTTACCTGGTAGGCTACTTCATATAAACAGCCATCCTTTCCAGCCAAGAAAATTCTGCCATTATCAGTGGAAGTTATTGTTAAAAGGTAAGTATTATCAGTAGGAAGAGAATATAAAGGATCTGGAAGCAACTGCATTCCACCAGACATACTGTCATTAAGAACTCCAGAGCCTGTTTATTTTAAGAAAGGACACATAAATCAGTTTATTAGCTACTTTATGGTTTTTAAAAATCTTTGTATTATCATCAGAATTGACATCCTTATGGAATTATTATTTATTGGACAATTAACACAGTCAACAGTTTCTATATCATAATTTTAAAATAAGTAAAAGAAGTCTGATACAATTTCAAAATTCAAGTTAAACAGAACCTGCTCTGTGTGTGTGTGTGTGTGTGTGTGTGTGTGTGTGTTTTTTTTATATAGTAAAACATTAAACAAAAAACTAACCATGCCAGGTACGGTGGCTCACGTCTGCAATCCCAACACTTTGGGAGGCTGAGGAGGGCGGATCACCTGAGGTCGGGAGTTCGAGACCCGCCTGACCAATACAATGAAACCCTGCCTCTACTGAAACCACAAAATTAACTGGGCATGGTGGCGCATGCCTGTAATCCCAGCAACTCAAGAGGCTGAGGCAGGAGAACTGCTTGAACCCAGGAGGTGGAGGCTGCCGTGAGCCGAGATCGTGCCACTGCACTGCGGCCTGGGCAACAAGAGCAAAACTCTGTCTCAAAAAAAAAAAACTAACCCAATATTAAATTCTGGAAAAGTGCCTGAGGAGTTGGCAGTAACAATCACTAATTTGAGTCAATGGAATTCAACATTTCACCCAGATTAGCTTTTAATTGTAATATCAATTGGCCAACATATTTTAAAAAACGTTAACGTAGGTTGTCATACCTGTTTGCAAATTAGCATAGCTGAGTCCAAGAATTACTATGTCTACAGGGGTCGCCAAAACCAGGAGGTGTCGTACATGAGGTTGAAAGATGCCTAAGATAAAGCAGACACAGGGCAGGAATACTTTCAGCATGTAAGCACTAACAGGGTAAGGTTTTATTATCATTAAAGTCAGCTACTATTTAAATAGTATAAAAAGTCTGGATCCAGTTTAGTAAATTCTGATGTTAAAATATTACTATGTATGATCATTTAAATAAGTAAATTTTGAACGTCATCAAGAAATTGAAAAGAAAAAAAGTAAATAGAAATAGAAAAGAACCACCTTAGAAAACAATCACTTCAGGGCCGGGCGCGGTGGCTCACGCCTGTAATCCCAGCACTTTGGGAGGCCGAGGCGGGTGGATCACGAGGTCAAGAGATCGAGACCATCCTGGTCAACATGGTGAAACCCCGTCTCTACTAAAAATACAAAAAATTAGCTGGGCATGGTGGCGTGTGCCTGTAATCCCAGCTACTCAGGAGGCTGAGGCAGGAGAATTGCCTGAACCCAGGAGGCGGAGGTTGCGGTGAGCCGAGATCGCGCCATTGCACTCCAGCCTGGGTAACTAGAGCGAAACTCTGTCTCGGAAAAAAAAAAAAAAAAAAAAAAAGAAAACAATCACTTCAGTACTGAATGCTGCTTAAAAAGTATTCTATTACAAAATAGTTTAAATTTATTAAAATATCAAGATTTACATTTGTATATCCATGTTCATAGAAGCATTATTCACAATAACTAAAAGATGAAAACAAAATCCACGTGTCCTTGATAGATGGATTAAAAAAATTTCATAAAGGCCAGGCGCGGTGGCTCATGACTGTTAATCCCAGCACTTTGGTCGGCCGTGGTAGGTAGATCAAGAGATCGAGACCATCCTGGTCAACATGGTCAAACCCCGTCTCTACTAAAAATACAAAAAAAAATTAGCTGGGAGTGGTGGCATACGCCTGTAGTCCCAGCTATCTGGGAGGCTGAGGCAGGAGAATTGCTTGACAACTCAGGAGGCGGAGGTTGCGGTGAGCGGAGATCGCTCCGTTGCACTCCAGCCTGAGCAAGAAGAGCAAAACTATCTCAAATAAAAGACACACACACACACACACACACACACACACACACACACACACACAATGGAATAAATATCCTGAGCCTTAAAAAGTAAGAAAGTTCTGATGCATGCCATAATGCAGAAGAACCTTGAGGACATAGGTTAAATCAAATAAACCAGTCACAAAATGACAAATACAGTACCATATGTGTCCATTTATATATATATATAAGGAAACTTATGTCAAATTCATACAGACAAAAAGGAAAATGGTTGCTGCCAAGGGCTGAAGGAAGGTGAAACAGGAGTTTTTAGTTAATAGGTACAGTTTCCATTTTACAAGATACATGGAGTTCTAGATATAGATGGTGGTGAAGGTTACACAATGTGAATGGACTTAATACCACTGAAGTGTAGGCTTAAAAACAGTTAAGATGGCAAAGCTGGCTGGGCGCCACGGCTCACGCCTATGATCCCAGCACTTTGGGAGGCCGAGGCAGGCAGATCATGAGGTCAGGAGTTTTGAGACCAGCCTGGCCAACCTGGTGAAACCCCGTCTCTACTAAAAATACAAAAATTAGCTGGGTGTGGTGGCGTGCATCTGTAATCCCAGCTATTACAGAGGCTGAGGCAGAATTGCTTGAACCTGGGAGGCGGAGGTTGAAGTGAAGTGAGCCAAGATCACGCCACAGCACTCCAGCCTGGGCGACAGAGCGAGAGTCCATCTCAAAAAAACAAAAATAAAAAACCAGAAAAAGAAAAAGATGGCAAAGTTTGTATTATGTGTATTTTACCACGATTAAAAAATATATATAACAGATTTCATTTTGAAATGTAAATAAAACCTAGATAATTCTGGGAAATAAAATTAAACCAAAGGTTAGAATATTGATAAGAGTATAGAGCAATATTTATACATTTATGCATCTATTTTAGACTCTATGGAAATACATTTGCTTCTTTTTTCTTTTTATTTTAGAGACAGTCTTGCTCTGCTCTCCAGGCTGGAGTGCAGTGGTGTAATTAAGGCTTACTGCAGCCTTGTCCTCCTATGCTCAAGCGATCCTCCTGCCTCAGTCTTATAACTGAGACTACAGGCAGGCACCACCATTTCGGGCTAAGTTTTGTATTTTTTGTAGAGACAGGGTATCACCATATTGTCCAGGCTGGTATTAAGTCTTAGATTCAAGCGATCTGCTCGCCTTGGCCTCCTACAATGCTGAGATAACAGGCGTGAGCCACCACACTCGGCCTGAAAATACATTTTCTTTTTTCTTGTGTGTGTGATCCTGAAAATACATTTTCAATGCAAGTAAATAGTATATAAAATGTCTGTTTTGGCCAGGGGTGGCGCTCATGCCTGTAATCTCAGGCTGAAGTAGGTGGATCACCTGAGGTCAGGAGTTCAAGACCAGCCTGAACAACATGGTGAAACCCCATCTCTACTAAAAATACAAAAATTAGCTGGGTGTGGTGGCAGGTGCCTGTAATCCCAGCTACTGAGCAGGTTGAGGCAAGAGACTCACTTGAACCTTGGAAGCAGAGGTTGCAGTGAGCCAAGATCATGCCACTGCACTCCAGCCTGGGTGACAGAGCGAGATTCCATTGTCTGTTTTTACTTAACTAAATATCTGTAATTTCAAAATGGCCATAATCTTAAAAATTTTTACTTAGGCCTTACAAAAAAGAAATTTTTGTCCATTTTTTCCTCCCATAGAAAGGTACATTTGGCCGTACAGTGGTTCATGCCTGTAATCCCAACACTTTGAGAGGCCACGGTGGACAGATTACTTGAGGCCAGGTGTTTAAGACCAGCCTGGCCAACATTGCGAAACCACATGCTACTAAAAATACAAAAATTAGCTGGGCATGGTGGCGCATGCCTGTAATTCCAGCTACTTGGAAGGCTGAGGCAGGAGAATCGCTTGAACCCAGGAGGCAGAGGTTGCATGCAGTGAGCACTGAGGTCCACTGTATTCTAGCCTGGCAAACAGAGTGGCACTCTGTATCAAAAAAAGAAAAAAAACAAGGTATATTTAAAGGATATATTTTAAATTTAAATCAATCATCCTTCTCAGTATCTCTGATGAGAGATTTGGCATTATGAGGCATAAAGAGTAAGTCAAACAATGCTTGTGATGTCTCGAAGATTTACTCTGAACTCTGTTCTCACTTCCATGGGCTATAAAGACTATGCCTAGGGTGCGGTAGCTCACGCCTATAATCCCAGCACTTTGGGAAACTAAGGTAGGCCAGTCACCTGAGGTCAGGAGTTCGAAACCAGCCTAGCCAAGGTGGCAAAATTCTGTCTCTACAAAAAATATAAAAATTAGCTGGGGCCAGGCACAGTGGCTCAGGTCTGTAATCCCAGCACTTTGGGAGGGTAAGGTGGGAAGATCACAAGGTCAGGAAATGGAGACCATCCTGGCCAACATGGTGAAACACCGTCTCTACTAAAAATACAAAATTAGCTGGGCGTGGTGGTATGTGCCTATAATCCCAGCTACTCGGGAGGCTGAGGTAGGAGAATCACTTGAAACAGGGAGTTGGAAGTTGCAGTGGGCCGAGATTGTGCCACAGCACTCCAGCCTGGTGACACAGCGAGACTCCATCTCAAAAAATAAAGTAAAAGGTAAATTAGCCAGGCATTGGGCCACATGTATGTAATCCCAGTTACTTGGGAGGCGGAGGCTGCAGCGAGTGGAGATCACACCACTGCACACCAACCTAGGCAACAGAGTGAGACACTATCTAAAAAAAAAAAAAAAGACTAAAAAGATGGCCAGTGCAGCGGCTCCCAAGTATAATCCCAGCATCCCTGAGGTGGGTGGATTGCTTGAGCCCTGGAGTTCAAGACCAGCCTGGGCAACATGGCAAAACCCCATCTCTACCAAAAAAAATACCAAAAATTAGCTGGGCGTGATAGTGCATAACTGTAGTCCCAGCTACTTGGGAGGCTAAAGTGGGAGGATCACCTGAGCCTGGGAGGTTGAAGCTATAGTGAGCAATGATCATGCCACTGCACTCAAGCCTAGGTGATGGAGTAAGGATCTTATCTAAAAAAAAAAAGACTAATAAAACACAGATACAAAATTTTTTCTTAACATTATTCAGCAATCAATGAAAAATCTATAGTGTAAAATTTTCAGGTGGATCAAGAAAGTAAAATAAAATTTAAGAATCATAGTTTAACATTTTTAAAGGCAGTGTCACTTATGCCATTAAAGTAAGTAAACAGTTAAACATTAATTGTCACTTTATAGCCAGGTGTGGTGGCTCACACCTGTAATCCCAGCACTTTGGGAGGCCGAGGCGGGCGTATCATGAGGTCAGGAGATCAAGACCATCCTGGCTAACATGGTGAAACCCCATCTCTACTAAAAATAAAAAAATTAGCTGGGTGTGTTGGCGTACGCCTCTAGTCCCAGCTACTCGGGAGGCTGAGGCAGGAGAGTCACTTGAACTCAAGAGGTGGAGGTTGCAGTGAGCTGAGATCGTGCCACTGCACTCCAGCCTGGACAACAGAGTGAGACTCCGTCTCAAAAAAGAAAAAAAAAAAAGTCACTTGACATATTTCTAATTAGAATTCAAAATACAACTTCAACAGAAACTACAACTGCTTAAAAAAGTGTGTTGTCAGCTGGGCACGGTGTCTCACATCTGTAATTCCAGCACTTTGAAAGGCCAAGGCGGGTGGATCACATGAGGTCACGAGTTCGAGACCAGCCTGGCCAAGATGGCGAAACTCCATCTCTACTAAAAATACAAAAATTAGCTGGGTGTGGTGGTACACACCCGTAATCCCAGCTACTTAGGAGGCTGAGGCAGAAGAACTGCTTAAACCTAGGAGGTGGAGATTGTAGTGAGCCAAGATTGCACCACTGCACTCCAGCCTAGGAGATACAGCGAGACTCAGTTTCAAAAAGAAAAAGATTGGGTGTGGTGGCTCACGCCTGTAATCCCAATACTTTGGGAGCTCTAGGTGGGCAGATCACCTGAGGTCGGGAGTTCAAGACCAGCCTGACCAACATGAAGAAACCCCATCTCTACTAAAAATACAAAATTAGCCAGGCACAGTGGTGCATGCCTGTAATCCCAGCTACTCAGGAGGCTGAGACAGGAGAATAGCTTGAACGCAGGAGGCGGAGATTGCGGTGAGCCAAGATTGCGACATGCACTCCAGCCTGGGCAACAAGTAAAACTCCGTCTCAAAGAAAAAAAAAAAAACAGTTGTTGTTCAGGTCTGTCTATACCATTTGGAGTCTAATTATACACACATAATCTCTTCTTTATAGTTTTATTTCTTACCAGCTTTTGGTTTCACAAGCCCCACAGCAAGAATAGTCTCACTAAGTCCATCAAAATAGGCAAGGTCTCCTCTGTCAATAAACGAAGAAAAATATGTTATACATACAAAGCAAACCGGATGTGGTGGCTCATGTCTTTAATCCCAGTACTTTGGGAATCTGAGGTGGGAGGAGTGAGTGAGACCAGAAGTTTGAGACTAGCCTGGGCAACAAAGTGAGACTCTGTTTCTACAAAAAAGAAACAAAAAATCAGCCAGGCATAGGGGCGTGAGGCCACTGAGGTAGGAGGATCATATAGGCCTGGGAGGTTGAGATTGCAGTGAGTAGTGTTCATGACACTATACTCCAGCCTGGGTGACAAAGTGAGATCCTGTCTCAAAAAAATAAAAGAAGGAAAGAAAACAAAGTGTTATCTTACAGTGCTCTTTATTATTATGATTACTATTATTTCTGAGACAGTGTCTAGCTCTGTTACCCAGGCTGAAGTGCAGTGGCACAATCTTGGCTCACTGTAATCTCCACCACACACCTAGCTAATTTTTGTATTTTTTATAGAGACAAGGTTTGGTGGCCAGGCATGGTGGCTCATGCCTGTAATCCTAGCACTTTGGGAAGCCCAGGCGGGTGGATCACAAGGTCAGGAGTTTGAGACTAGTGAAACCCCATCTCTACTAAAAATACAAAAATTAGCCGGGTGTGCTGGTACATGTCTGTAATCCCAGCTACTCAGGAGGCTGAGGCAGGAGAATCACTTGAACCTGGTAGGCAGAGGTTGCAGTGAGCCGAGATCGCACCATTGCACTCCAGCCTGGGCGATGGAGTAAGACACTGTCTCAAAAAAAAAAAAAAAAAAGAGAGAGAGACAAGGTTTGGTCATATTGCCCCCAGGCTGGTCTTGAACTCCTGAATGCTCTTTATTAGATAAATAAATTTAGATACAGAATATAATAAAAAGACTGGGAAAGGTAGCTCATGCCTGTAATCTCAACACTTTGGGAGGCTGAGGCAGGAGCCCAGGAGTTCAAGTTCCTGGGCAACACAGTGAGACTTGGTCTCTATGAAAAATTTATATGTATATGTAATATATAATGAAAAAACAAGCAAGCAAAACTGTTTCAGTTCCAAGACCCAGAGACCCAGACCTGCTTATGGCTAAGCATGAACTAGAAAAGTAGGGATATACAAAAAATAGAAAATGCTGCTCCCCAACTGGACTACAAACATTAAGTAGTTATCGATCTACTGCTGGGGCAGGGGCAAAAGCATGAAGAGGACCATCTTAGAAGGATGGAATCACAGGAAAAGCCTAAGATTGAGTATGTAAGAGGAACACTGAGAAAAAATCTCCAGTAGACCAACTTGTAACCTAAGTACAAGATAATTCTAAAGGAATTGAAATCTGCAGTGCTCTGAGGGTAACTACAGCAACAACAAAACCCAAATTCAGCTCAAGTCCTGACCTGGAAAAAGGAAACTTCTTGCATAATAAAGATCCACTGGCCAGCGCGGTGGCTCACGGCTGTAATCCCAGCACTTCAGGAGGCAGAGGCAGGCGGATCACCTAAAGTCAGAAGTTCCAGACCAGCCTGGCCAACATGGTGAAACCCCATCTCTACTAAAAATACAAAAAATTGTCCACGTGTGGTGGTGGGAGGCTGTAGTACCAGCTACTCTGGAGGCTGAGGCAGAATAATCGTTTCAACCTGGGAGGTGGAGGTTACAGTAAGCAGAGATCGCACCATTGCACTCCGGCCTGCTCGGGAGAGCAAGACTCTGTCGGGGGGAGGAGGAATAGATCTGCTATACCTTAGCAAAGGAAGAGACATACCCATTTCTTTTTTTTTTTTTTTTTTTTTTTTTTTATGGAGTCTCACTCTGTCACCCAGGCTGGAGTGCGATGGCACAATCTCGGCTCACTGCAACCTCCGCTTCCCAGGCTCAAGCGATTCTCTTGCCTCAGCATCCCCAGTAGCTGGGATTACAGGTGTGTGCCACCACGCCCAGCTAATTTTTGTACTTTTAGTAGAGACAGGGTTTCAACATCTTGGCCAGGCTGGTCTTGAACTCCTGACCTTGTGATCCACCCGCCTCAGCCTCTCAAAGTGCTGGGATTACAGGCATGAGCCACCGTGCCAGGTCGAGACATGCCCATTTCTAAGAATAAATGCTACTTGCTACTTACTTATAGTATCTACCATCTTACACATGATTTCTGGCTTTCAATAAGAAATTATGAGACACAAAATAGCAAGGGAAAAAACCCTACTGTCAAGAAACAAAGTAATCAATAGAACCAGACTATCCAAACTATCAGACAAGAAATTTAAAATAACTATGAACTATGTATATAGGTTTTATATAGGAAAAATTATCTAATTGATGACATGTTGGAATAAGTAAAGTTCGGAGGTCGAGACAGGTAGATCATCTGAGGCCAGGAGTTCAAGACCAGCCTGGCCAACACAGTGATAACCTTTCTCTACTAAAAATAGGAAAAATTAGCCAGGCATGGTGGCACAGGCCTGAAATCCCAACTACTTAGGAGGGTGAGGCATAATAATCACTCGAACCTGGGAACCTGGAAAGTGGAGGTTGCAGTGAGCTGAGATGACGCCATTGCACTTGAGCCTGTGCAACAGAGTGAGACTCCATTTAAAAAAAAAAGAGAAATAAAAAAGACAAAAAACAAACAAACAAACAAAAAACAGGTAAAGCATTTCAACAGACAGATAAAAATTGTAAGAAGCCAGTGAGGCTGGGTGTGGGATGGCTCACGTCTGTAATCCCAGCACTTTGGGAGGCAGAGGCAGGCAGATCACCTGAGGTCAGGAGTTTGAGACCAGCCTGGCCAACATGGTGAAACCCTGTTTCTACTAAAAATATAAAAATTAGCCAGGCATTGTGGCACATGCCTGTAATCCCACCTACTTAGGAGGCTGAGGCAGGAAAATTGTTTGAACCCGGGAGGCACAGGTTGTAGTGATCTGAGATCATGCCATTGCACCCCAGGGTGACAGAATGAGACTCCATCTCCAAAAAAAGAAAAGAAAAGAAAACAGAGAGAGAGAGAGAGAGAGAGCGTGCGAGCAGAAAAACAAAAAAAGAATGGAGCATCCAAAATGAGGTAATATCAAACGGTATAACAAAAGTATAGCTGAAATCTCAGAACAAAGAAAATGTATCAGAGAATTTAAAGATAAAGGCTGGGCCTGGCGCAGTGGCTCATACCTGTAATTCCAGCACTTTGGGAGGCCAAGGAGGGCAAATCACTTGAGGCCAGGAGTTCAAGACCAGCCTGGTTAACATGGTAAAACCCCATATCTAATAAAAATACAAGAATTAGCCAGGCGTGGTGATGTGTGCCTGTAGTCCCAGCTACTCTAGAGGCTGAGGCAGGAGGAGTGCTTGAACCCAGGAGGGGGAGGTTGCAGTGAACCAACTTCATCCACTGCATTCTAGCCTGGCAACAGAGAAAAACTCCATCTTGGGGGGAAAAAAAAACAAAAACAAGAAAATAGCTGAACAGAAAACAAAAAAGAGAGAGAGAAAAATAAACATAACAGCTGAAAAAAATTTGAAAAATAAAGACATTAAACTAAAAGTTCTAAGAAGCTCAGAGAACATGAAGCAGAATAAATACCAAGAAAAAAATAAGATCCAGACTTTCAAGAAAGCTTCCAATTATCCTGAAAGGGCCATCCACACAGGACAAAATAGCTAAATGGCACCTTATGTGGACTAGGATTCCCCATCCTCCTACATCATGGCATCCCACAGGGCCCTTTGATAATTGGCACAGTCTCTTGAAACCATGATCCAAATGCTGAGAAAGTTGGGGGTTAGAGCACAATAAAATGACCCAAGATTACATTTTCATCATCCAGAATGAATTAGGATTTCTAATAGAAAGCCAACTGAATACTTAAACTATGTATAAATTCTACAAAATTGAATTTGTAGACTTAAAACTTGTGCCTTTTTTTTTTAAATAAGTACAATCTTCAAATAATTTTTCTTTAAATGAACACACACTACTATGGATCAAATATGTGTGTCCTACTAAAATTCATGTTAAATCCTAACTCCTAATGTGATAGTATTTGTAGGTGGGGCCTTTGAAAGGTTTTTAGGTCATGAGGATATGCCCTCATGAATGAGTGAAACCCCGTATCTGCTAAAATTACAAAAATCAACCAGGCGTGATGGTGGGTGCCTGTAATTGGCTAATTTTTTTTTAGTAAAGACAGAGTTTCACCATGTTGGCCAGGCTGGTCTCGAACTCCTGACCTCGTGATCCGCCCACTTCGGCCTCCCAAAGTGCTGGGGTTATAGGCAAGAGCCACCGCACCTGACCAAAAACATGTTTTATAGAAAATAATTATTCTTACATTTATCTGTTCTGTAATTTTTTTGCATTGACTTCTCTTGGAAAGATACATTCTTGAACAAAAAGTTTCTATTATTTAGCATAAAAATGAATATGTTATGGAAACATAACAAAGTAAGGAACACTCAGGGTACATGAAAAATAATCACAACCAGGCCGGGCGTGGTGGCTCCCAGCACTCTGGGAGGCTGAGGTGGGTGGATCACCTGAGGTCAGGAGTTCAAGACCAGCCTGCCCAACATGGCAAAACCGCGTCTCTAAAAAAATAAAAAAATAATCACAACCATACATCACTGCTATTACAACTATTACATTTCAACAAGAAAAACTGCCATGAAAACTTCTACTAGAAAAACAATGTTTCATTTAAGCCATAGGTATTAAGCTGTCATTTAGCTTCAATTTTCTTTCAACGATTTTTTTTATTTTTGAGATGGAGTCTTGCTCTATCACTCAGGCTGGAGTGTAGCGGCACGATCTTGGCTCACTACAACCTCTACTGCCCAGGTTCAAGTAACTCTTCTGCCTCAGCATCCAGAGTGGCTGGTACTATACACATGCACCACCACACCTAGCTAATTTCCGTATTTTTAGTAGAGATGGGGTTTTGCCTTGTTGGCCAGGCTGGTCTCACACTCGGATCTTCAGGTGATCTGCTCACCTCGGTCTCCCAAAGAGCTGGGATTACAGGCATAAGCCAATACACCCGGCTGATACGGTGTTTTTTTAAAATGCATGTGTGCACCTAAAAAGATCTTTAATTACGGAGGAGCAAGAGTAACATCTTAATTATATGGGCCTTCCTATGGTTATCCCATTACCTCATCTGCGGATAATATAATGGACAGCTGGAAGTAAAACAAAATCTTGTTTCTAAAAAGTCAAGAGGAAGATCACCAGACCAATATGCTCCATTTAAGCAAAAGTACCTTAGGCTTTCACTCAGAATCATTTCTATACATAACAATTTACACACAGGTCAAAATCACAAAATGACAACAAAATAAATATCAGATGCCTACTCCATAGAAATGCAAGGAAAGGGCTGCGTGTGGTGGCTCATCCCCATAATCCCAACACTTTGGGTGGCCAAAGCAAGTGGTTTATGAGGTCAGGAATTTGATACCAGCCTGGCCAATATGGTGAAATCCCGTCTCTACTAAAAATACAAAAATCAGCCAGGTGTGGTGGCGCATTCCTGTAATCTCAGCTACTGGGGAGGGTGAGGCAGAAGAAGCACTTGAACCTAGGAGGCAGAGGTTGCAATGAGCCGAGATTGCACCATTGCACTCCAGCCTGGCAACAGAGCAACTCTTTAGCTCCAAAAAAAAAAAAAAAAAAAAAAAAGGCAAGGAAAACAGAAGTCTTTAAAAATGTCCAATCATCTCTTAACGAATTGCCAACATACTATTTTTACTACAGGCTAAGAGCTTGGGACCTGGACTTGTGCTACTCAGGAATGGCATATATACCAGCAGCAGCAGCTGGCAGCTTGTTACAAATGCAGACCCTTGGGCCTCACTCAGGACTACCAAAACAGAATCCACATTTGAACATCCCCAGATAATTGATATGCATACTAAAAAGCATTGACCCAAAGGCTAGATGAATGAAAGATAAACCAAGCAGCTTCTAATGAGAACACTAGCCACAGTAAAGTTTACATAAATTCTAATCACACTTAAAGCAAACCAGCCTTAAATACATACCCATCTTCATAGTTCCACATGAATATATCGCTGTCAATCGTGAGCCAAGCTCTGCTGATAGGAGGGAACACACCCATCATGCAGTTACACTGCATATCTGAGGTAGTATAGATGTAAGGCAGACAGAGTTGAATCTTATTTTTCTTAAACTTGTTTCAATAGCTTTTGACTTAACATTTATGTAAAAAGGCTGGGCGCGGTGGCTCAAGCCTGTAATCCCAGCACTTTGGGAGGCCGAGGCGGGTGGATCATGAGGTCAAGAGATCGAGACCATCCTGGTCAACATGGTGAAACCCCGTCTCTACTAAAACTACAAAAAATTAGCTGGGCATGGTGGCGCGTGCCTGTAGTCCCAGCTACTCAGGAGGCTGAGGCAGGAGAATTGCCTGAACCCAGGAGGCGGAGGTTGCGGTGAGCCGAGATCGCGCCACTGCACTCCAGCCTGGGTAACAAGAGCGAAACTCTGTCCCAAAAAAAAAAAAAAAAAAAAATTTATGTAAAAAATCGCAATGTGTCTCCTCTTTAATATAACAAAGAACCCATATACTTTAACATATTTTAAATAAAACCCTTAAATGAACATATATAACACACCAATTAAACACAGAATATACTTTAACATATTTTAAATAAAACTCTTATATAACACTCTAATTAAACACAGAACCCATATACTTTAACATATTTTAAGTAATGCCCTTAAATGAACATACATATAACACACTAATTAAACACATAACAATGAAAATATCAATGTTAACATTTTTTAAATAGTTAAATACAAAGTAATAGGATACGTCCAAACTGCTCAACAAGTTCAGGTGGGAGAGGAACTCTTCGGATGGAACTGATCTCTGGAAGGTTGGGTACAGACAGCAAACCAGGTCCTTGTAAAGGATAATCCATATCTGACATGCCAGAAACAGTGGGATTATCTACAAAAAAGAAAATGAAGTATTTATAATAACGTACTATTCATCAACTGGGCATATAAAAGGACTGAGTGCCTCTCTGTACCTTTGCAACCAGCACACATAATTTTTTTGTGTGCTGGTTCCAAAGGTACAGAGGATATACTAGTTTTGACCCCACACAAAATAGGCCTGAAATATTCCATATTAAGACAGGGATAGTTACTGGTTTCAGATCTGAAGGGAAGGTCATCTCTCACAAAACTTGCCCTATAACAAAGGAAAGGTTTAAATTTGATAATGTAATGTTATTTGAAAATAACAGTGGCTGGGCAGTGTTTCACACCTGTAATCCCAACACTCACTTTGGAAGGCCAAGGGGGGAGGATCACTGAGGTTTGGAGTTCGAGACCAGCCTGACCAACATGGAGAAATCCCTTCTCTACTAAAAATACAAAATTAGCTGGGCATGGTGGTGCATGCCTGTAATCCCAGCTACTCAGTAGGCTGAGGCAGGGGAATTATTTGAACTCAGGAGGCAGACATTGCACTGAGCGAGACTGCACCATTGCACTCCAGCCTAGGCAACAAGAGCAAACTCCATCTCAAAAAAAAAAAAAAAGTCGGGCATGATGGTGGATGCCTGTAATGCCTGCTACTCAGGAGGCTGAGCAGGAGAATCCATTGAACCCAGGAGGCGGAGGTTTCAATGAGCTGATATCAGGCCACTGCACTCCAGCCTGGGCGACAGGGTGAGACTCCATCTCAAAATAAATAAATAAATAAATAAATAAAAACAAAGGCATGTATGTAATTGCATCGTTTGTAACACAAAGGATAAATGCTTGAGAGGATGGATACTCCATTTT